CGCCGTATACACCGTGAATACGTTTCATTCATTGAATTATGCCAATAGAAATTGCAGGTCGAAGATAATTTCTTTGCGTTGTACGCAGTTTGGTTGTGTGTGCAATGATCCGATATCCCGGGCACCGCTATCGTATTTAATCCCAATAGAGCACAAGAGGGACTGCGTACTGCAAAACTGATCGGAATGGGATCGCGCGTGATCGCCTGGGAGAGTGAGAGAAAAAGCTTATTCTTATGTGTGTGTGTGTGTGTGTGTGTGTGTGTGTGTGACGGAAACGCCGCCTGACCAAGTGGTGATGGCGTAACTCAATTAGCCCCGACCACGCAAACGGTGATTGCGTGTCACATGGGCACGTCGGAGGAACTTTTGACCTTACCAAACACACACGCATTCCTTTGATCGTTTATTTAACTAGGAACGTTTTGAAAACAAAACTCATACGGCTGTCGAGAGAGTGCAGAGTGATTAAAAAATCAGATCCCACTTAGGCAAGGCGACAATTTCAGTTTTAACAGTTATTTATTTCCGTTAATTTTGTAAACTTTGAAGCACCCTATCAGCAAGTTTCACTTTCGCACGTCTAACGTGTAAAACGCCGTTACAGATACTCTCAATCGAATAAGAGGGCGAATTAATTCTGCTATCTGGATAGCTGCTATTCATCGACCAAGTGTCGGGACGGCCGGTTACGGCTACAGTACGGTCTGAAGACATGGTCGTTACCAAAAAACAAAAAAACTGTAGTGGCATTCGAACAACTCTCTCTCTCTCCACCTCTCAATGCACGAATCTGGGAGGGGAGGGGGCGATAACTGAGTGGCGGTGGCCCAGTGGTTTAGCCGCTGTCACTGGCGTGCTTTGGACCCTAAGGTCTGAGGTACGAACCCCGCCACCAGCATCCAACTTTGGTGGTAGTGAACTTTGCTGTCGTCCGGTTCAATGCCACGTCTAATCTAGCGGGGCCTTATGCGGTTCGCCACTCCAAGTACCAGGGCTTAGGTTGCCGGGTTCCAACACTGAACAGCACGCCCTCGTGACAATGGGGTTCG